TCTAGATTCCATAGTCTATAAGATCTTTGTTGGCAGCTGGTGCAAAGTCCATGGGCAAAATGAATTCATCTTGTTTGAGGGACAGGAAAAAAAATGGTGTGATTGCGGCAGAGGGGAGAAAAGGAAGCTAGAGAAGAAAGATCCTAGGACAGGCAGATCCTATCAGCTATTGAAACTCAAGGTATGGAATTTATATTTCTTGCTTATTAAAATGAGCAATTACTGGAGGATTTAAGTAAAAAAGCAATGTGGTCTGATTCACTTATCACTAGTATGCAATCAACTTGATCTACATCCTAAAAAAAAGTATGTTCTTATGCTTACTGAATGCATAGTACATTAGCTTCTTCCTATTCATTACCAACTTACATTTGTCTTTATATTTAAAGTACATTCTGGAAGCCAGCATATAGATTAGTTTTGTTTCTTTAGAAACCCATTTTGACAGTCTCTACTTTTAAACAAAAGTATTTAGTCCGTTAACATTTAATATAATTAATGATACGTTTGCATTTAGATCTTACATTTTACTATTTGTTTTGTATTTCCCTTCTTGTGTTTTATTGTTGCTGTTTGTTTGGTGTTTCTCTATCCATCATTTCCTGTATTCTCTCAGGTTAATTGAATACTTTTTAAAATTCCATTTTAAGCTACCTATTGGACTTTTAACCACACTTTTTTGTTTTGTTTTGGTTTTTGCCTTAAGTGGTTGCTATAGTGCAGCAGTTCTTAAAGCATAGTCCAGGGACCATAAAAATCAAAATCAATATGATTTTAAAATACTAAGATATTATTTGCCTAGTACAGTCTCATTCTCTTTGGAATGTACAGCAGGGTTTTCCAGAGGCTACATGCTATATCATGATGTCCACACTCTGGGTGCATGTGTTCTTGTGTTTTCTATAATTCCTGATATAATAAAATTATAGTACAAATATGTACATTTTTAGAGATTAACCCTGCTTGTTCTCTGTACTCTTACTGGGTTCTTGCTAGTTTTCTTGGATTGTACCTATCAAAACCTCAATATCATGCAGTAAGTAGTTATTTTGAAAACCAAATATTTTCCTTGTAATCCACATGTAAATAACAAGAATGGGCATACTTTGTAGATTTGTCGTTTTAAAGAATTTTCTCAAAACACTTTTAAAAATCTTAATTTGATATTAAACTCATTTTATAAGTTAATCATATTTTACTCTGAGTTTTTTTCACATTTAAGAATAGATTATTGCTTAGGAGTAGGGAGTTATTGTTTAGTGGACACAGTGTCAGTATGAAATGATGAAAATAGTATGGAGATGGACAGTTGTGATGGCTGCACAACAATGTGAATGAACTTAATGTCACTGAACTACATACTCAAAAATAGTTAAAATGGTAACTTTTATGTTATATATATTTTAGCACAATAAGAATATCTTTCTCAACACACAGCTCCCCTGTTTACCTTGAAGATGATAGGGAAGATGAAAGTGTTAGAATTCTCTTACTCAACAAAGGAAAGAATCACCTCAAAAGACCAGATGAAACTGATTTTTTGTTTTATCAAATGAGATATAATAAAAACTATCTTTCAATGGGCTTTACAAATGTTAATAATTTACCTTTTGTGTCTTCTGCAACAGAACATTTGTAATAGCACTGTGGTCCAAGGATCATTTTGAGACCAATCATTCACAATTTAAAGCAAAGGAATTGAAGTTTTAAATGTAGGCGTGGTGTTTTTATAACTTTCCAAAGTGGAAATAAAAAAGCCATTCAAGCATTTCACAGGCTAAGTTATTATACTGCATTGGCTATTAAAGTACAAAGAATGACTGAGAGACCAGTAAAACCTTACATGGTTGACATTACTAAATACCTGGTGGGTGGAAGGCCCATAAAAGAAATCATGGCACTGACAATTTCCGATAATTCAAAAATATACTGATTTAAAAATTTAACTGAAAATATAAAAAGTGATTTAATATCTTGTCTACTGAATTATGTCTTTGCCTTATAGATAAATGAATCTGATGTAGTGGGACTAATTTTGTTTGTATTCACCTGGTGTCAGTACCGACTAATCATTCAAGAAGATACTCTTTTATGTCAATGCCTGGGAGACACAACTGGTACTTAAATAATCAAAGTTTTGAAAATTCCTGCTTGTTCATCCTGGGCTAACGGTGTTAAAATTTTCACTAATGGTACAAAAGCAATGGTAGGTAAAACTTCTGGACCTTAGCATAAATCAAGGCAGTGGTGCCAAAGTGCATTCATTGTATTCTTCACTACTACACACTCCCAGTTAAAAAAAAATCAGCTTCACTTAAGAAGATACTTGATGTAAAAGTATTTTTAAAATATCAACCCTAGAGAACGTGCTTATTTAATACACTGCATGATGAGATAAGACATGCACTTAAAGCAATTCTGAAGTATACTGAAGTATACTGGATACTGCATACTGAAGTATACTGGTTGTCTTGAAGAAATACACTAATGTGATAAACTCACCAGTGTGTTTCATGGAATGAAACTAATGTGATGAACTCACCAGTGTGTTTCATGGAATACCAGTTTTACTTAACAGCTAACTATGGCCGACAAAGAATGGTTATTCACACTTGGTTACTGGGTACATTTTAAAAAAATAAATGAAATTATCCTACCACTTTAAAGAAAACATCTGACAATATTTATTGCCAATGATGAAATATGAACTTGAAAGTAAAAAAAAATTTCTGAAAACTTGTAAGCACTTGAATCATTGTAAGACTGGCAGCATACCAAAACTTAAACACTTTTCTAATGAGATTGCTGGTGATATTAACAAATATCATTTTAGATATTGTCAATGGAATGAATCAACATTTTGAAGATCTGTGACCACTGTTTTCCAATTATCAATGCATAATGTTACAAAATCATTCAAAGTGCAAGACAGACCAATGAAGATTATAAAAAGTTCACTAATATTATTTTAGATTCCACATGGCAACTAACTTTTAATAAACCTCCACTTCAGAGGTTTGATGTAGTATTAAAGAAGAATACCCACAATTACCTAAAGGCCATTGAAATTCTTCATTTTCCAACTACATCTATGTGTCAGTATAGATTTTCTTCATATACTTCAACCTAAAGAACGTATCACAACAGACTGAACGCAGAAATGGACATGAAAACCCAGCTGTCTTCTACTGTCAGACATTAAAGAGGTTTTCAAAATGTAAAACAGTCTTCATCTTCTCACTACTTTATTTTTGCTTTGGAAAATATAATTATTTTTCATAAAAACATTTTATTCATGTTAGCATATAATGGATTTATTATTGTTACTTTAAATTAATGACTAGTTTTAGAATTTCTCAAATTTTAGTTCTAGAAATGCATATTAGGTAGATTCAATCTATATAGACAGAAGCTCTTTGGGTCCTTAATAATTCTTGGGAGTATAATGGGGCCTTGAGACCAAAAGTTTGAGAATCACTGTCTAGGGATTATAATATATATCCTTAACTTTTCAGTCTAAGTAATATTTAATATTATATCACTTGATGTAAAAGATACAATCATATAGGTCCACTTATCCTCATTCTTTATACTACAGTTGTTTATTATATACAGAATTATACATTTATCTATATATGTATGCCTTATAATTTTTGCTTTGCAGTTATATTTATTTTAAAGAAATCAAGAAATTATATTTACCCACATATTTACTATTGCTTGTGTTCCTCCTTTTTTCCTGAAGAGCTGAAATTCAAGCTGCTTTTATTTTCCTTCAATCTGTAGAATTTTCTGAGCATTTCTTACATACAGGTCTGCTGATAACCAGCCTTCTTTATTTTCTTGCATCAGAAGATACTTTTATTTCTTTACCAATCTTGAAGAGTATTTTCACTGGATATAGATTTCAGAGTTGACATTTTTCTTTCAGCATTTTAAAGATTTGTTTCCATATCTTACGGCCTCCATTATTTCTGATGAGAAGTGAGTAATCATTTGAGTCAATGTTCCCTTATGCATGGGTCATTTTTCTTTGTTCTCAAGGTTTTCTTTTCTTTTTGGTTTTAAGTACTTTGACTATAATGAACCTAGGTGAGATTTTCTTTTTATTTATCCTGATTGGGGTTGCTGAGCATCACAAAAACTTACATTTCTGTCTTTCATCAACATTGGAAAATTTGGGTCAGTATTCTTCAAATATTTTTTCCAACCATATTTTATCCTTCTTTTTCTTTGGGTATTACAATTATAGATGATTAGGCCTCGAGACTCTCTTCATTATATTATCATCTGCCCTTACTCTTCTCTGTTTTTTAGGCTGAATACTTTCTATTGATTTAAATTCATTGACTCTTCTTTCATCTCCTATCTGCTAAGCCTAACTAGTGACTTTTAAGTTTTAAATATTGAATTTTGAATTCTAGAATTTCTGTGTTTTTCATAGTTTTCATATCTCTTGAAATTTCCTATTTATTTATTCATCCAAGTATATTTTCCATTACATCCTTGAGTATATTACAAAATCTGTCTGATAAATCCAACATTTAGGTTATCTGGGGAGGAAGATTGCCTCCAATGATTACTTTTGAATTTTGCTTTCTGATCTTAAATCTGAATTAAATTTTTTCTATTTCTTCAGATATTTAATGGATTGTGTTCTGGACATTGTGAGTGATATGTTTTAGAAAATCTGGATTCAGTTATCTTCCTTATAAAAGTTTTGGTTTTCTTTTTCTTTCTCTGTTTTTTTTTTTAAGCATGAAAAAGACAGAGAATTTGTCTTTGGCTAGGCTCAAATCCCAAACTGTTACACATGCATGAATAGCAGCTGAAAGGAAATCTCAGTTCAATTCCTTTATCCATAACTGTGCTACTTAGAGTCTGTCTTGCACATGTGCAATTCAGGTATCAGATAAATGTGGGTAAATTTTGCATAGTTTATAATCAGAATTTGAGGTTTCTTCTATCTGGCTGTCTTCTTCCTAAGATTTCCCACTCACTTTCCATCTGTGGTAGTTACTTGAATTTTGTCTTCTGAATTCTTCAAGCAAGTAAAACAGCAGGTTGCTCTTCAGGTTTTGGCTGTCCCATGGATGGGAACTCACCTCAGGCTAGAAGCTGTAAAAAACAGGAAACTCACTCAGTGTCATTTCCTTCTTCTAAGTGGTTGCTCTCCAGTGCCTTCAGTGTTTTTTATATTTTGTCCAGAATTTATCATTGCTATGTGGAAGGTTGGTCCAATAGAAGCTACTCAGTCATTACCAGAAGCAGACACCTGCACATATTTTTTGAAACCATATCACAAATGCTATTTGTGTTTTTAAATTAAAATGGCAAACTAAGCATCAAAAATAAGAAAACTATATATTGATAATTATAGAGCCTAAATAATTTCAAAAATAGTTTGAACCTTTTTGTGCTGATAAATTATTTTTTTCCATTAAAAAATACATGTCATCCTGGCTGGTGTGGCTCAGTGCTCAGAGCACCAGACTATGAACTGAAAGGTCAATGGTTCGATTCCCAGGCAGGGCACATGCCTGGGTTGAGGGCCAGGTCCCCAGTTGGGGGTGTGTGAGAGGCAATCAATCGATGTATCTCTCACACATTAATGTTTCTCTCCCTCTCTTCCTCCCTCCCTTCCCTTCTCTCTAAAAGTAAATATATAAAATCTTTAAAAAGACAAAAAACAAATGTCCTCTATATTCTTATAAATATTTGTTTTCTGAAATGCATATGGATGTTTGAATAAAAATAATTTTATCAGTATTTTTAATGTTAAAAGTTATAATTCTGATAAAAGATAAATAAAGCATATGCTCAATGTCACTAATCATCAGTGAAATACAAATTAATACCATAATGAGGTATCATCTCACACCTGTCAGAATGGCTATCATTAATAAACCAACAAACAAGTGCTGGTGAGGATGTGGAGAAAGGGGAACCCTTTTGCACTATAGGTGGGAATGCATATTGGTGAAGCCATTGTGAAAAGCAGTATGGAGATACCTCAAAAAATTAAAAAAGGATCTGCATTTTGACCCAGCTATCCCACTTCTGGGAATATATCCAAAAGAAAGCTAAAACACGAATTCAAAAGAACATAAGCACCCCTCTGTTCACTGCAGCATTATTTGCAATCACCAAGATGTGAAAGCAGCCCAAGTGTCCATCAGTACATGAGTGAACAAAACTATGGGACATTTATACAATGGAATACTACTTAGCTGTAAAAAATAAGAAAATTTTACCCTTTGCAAAGGTATGGATGGACCTGGAGAACATTATGCTAAGTGAAATAAGCCAGTGAGAGAAAGACAAATGCCATATGATTTCACTCATATGTGGAATCTAATAAACATTGAACTCAGAAGGAAAATGGGGACAGACTCATAGATGAAGAGCAGAATGACAGCTGGTGGGGGTGGGAGGTTAGGGGGTGGAGGGACTGAGCAAAAAGGAAAAAGAACTCATGGACATGGACAACAGTATGGTGATTGCTGGGGGGAGGGGAGAATAAGGGGGAAAATGGTAACAGAAAAAAATACAGTGAAGACTAAATAAAAATATAAAACTAAAAAAAGTAAATAAAATGTACCAAGAAATCATAAATGAAGGAAAGTAAACAGCAATAAAAAACTAATGAAAGAAAAGACCAGCACTAACCCAATTTCAATAAATATATAAACTATTTCTTTACCTTATAGTTTATTTTAAAAAATCCCATGAAACTATCATATCTTGTTTCCATTAATGAGACACTTGAAATGTTAACAAAAAGTATTGTTTTATACCCATGCACATAAAACTGAGATTATAATAAATAATATACTAGATTTCAGAATGAAAATACTTATAATTAAAAAGGCCATTACATAATTTCAACAATATTTGTTCCAAAAATTTCTAAGGAAAAACTAGTTAAATAATAGATGAAATGTAATCTGTCAGAGATATCAACCTTTATCAAAGTCTATGTGGGATGGTATATAAATAAGGTAGAATAGTCAAAATTAAAATACAATATTTAAAAGGGAAATCTGGTCTTCGGTGGCTCTTCTTTTTTTTTTTTTTTTGATTATTGTTCCTTTTGAGATTTAAAAATATATATATGTATTTCCTCTCCAGATAAATTTTGCCAACAATTTCAGGTATTCAACAACTTTCTGAAGCTACATTACCATTCCCTAATACACATTAGGACCATAATAACTAACATTTATAAGCACTTCCCAAGTGCTAGGCATTATACTAATAACTTTATATGCATTTTCATTTTTTTTATAACAACCTTATAGGGTAGATACTACCCTTACTCTCAGAACAACCTATGAGATCAACACTATCATTATTTCCTCTTTGTGGATTGGTAGAGTATAGCTTAGACATGCTGTTATTTATCTAATGTCACACAGCCAATGAGAAGGAAAGATGGGATTTATATCTTATCCCTCTGATCCCAGGTTTCCAGCCTTAGTCACTATCATATACTGCCTTTCAATAGGGGCCTTCCAAATTAATTTTAAAAATCAATATATCTGAAAAAGAGATATAAACATATCCAAAAGTATATCTAATCCTATTCCTTATTTATATCACCCACATTGCAAAAGAGAATTTGGCTAGTGATACACACAAAAAGAAAACTGAACATAGGAATGAATTTGTGTGTGTGGCAGGGGGAAAGGGAAGTGGTGGTAAAAAAGGGAGAAGGAACTAGAGGTAGAGTCAGAACCAAAAAATGTGTATTGCAGGGTTATCTCTGATGAGCCACACAACTGTTCTGAACAACATAGTAACTAGAGGAAAGAAGGATTTATTTAATCAATAGTGTTTTACCTGGTACTTGGAGAAAAAGATCTTTTCTGGGGGACATGGTACGGACAATATCCTCAACAATATTATATAATAATGATTTTAAGATATTTTGTACAAAAATTTCTTACATATTTCTTGATGTAGATCAAAGCATGATATCAAAGTGTAGGTTGGAAAAGATAACTCTAGCTAGGGTGCAATGCAGTCTTAGCACAAAATTTTACAATGATTTGGATTGGGCTGAGGGTAAAATGTATAATAGGGAAGTGGACAGACTGTTCATTCTTTAGGTAATCTTTATGACAATTAAGTTTTTAAATTTAACAGTTGAGAGTTTATTTTCTCTAACATAACCTGGAGTTCAGAAATGCTAGATTCTATACAGTAGGCCTAATTCATATACATGGATAATGAATCAGAGAATGAAACTGATAACTTCTTAAGGAAGTTAGAGGGCCTGAACTGGACAGATGCCTGAATTTTAGACTTTCTGCCAAAGTGAGTTGAAGGAAGACCTTTAGAGAGAGATAATATATAATTCACACTGATCTGTAAATATGTAATGTTTGAGACATGGTTGAAATCTAAACAGCAAATGCTCTTTGTTTTTGTTAAATAAGAATGTTGCTATAATATAACAGGATTATAGAAAGGTACCAAAGCAGTACTTGAGAAAACATACTGCTGTAAATACCTGTATTAGTTTATGAAAGAAATATTAAATATTTATATAAGAACCTAAACATGGAACAAAGTAACCTTAAATATGTAAGAAAATTAAAATAATGAAAGCAGAAATAAATTATTTAAATTGATAATAACATATTTAAAAAACAAGTTAGAATCACTACTTTGGAAGTGTTCTAGTTGGCAAAAGAATAAATTTTAAGATAATGCAGATAAAGAGTTATTTCTAAATTTTATTTTGGAGATGAAGGAGAATTCCCAAAGAGGGGAAACATTAGAGTTATGCCTTTAAAATTAGGTATGATAAGGACAAACAGATATAGAGCACTGGGAGGGAAAAAGGCATTCCTGGCAGATGAAAACAGCCAAAGGATATAGAGGCAGGAAAGCATACTATGTGCTATTTACAAATAAGGTAGGTCGGTGTACTTGAGAAAAATATGGAGGATCTCATTATCACTAAATATGTGCAAGGAAGGAAGGAAGAATAAAAAGAGAAAAACAGAAGATCAAAGTCTGAGCTTTAAGGATATGCTCTTAGAGATAGCAAGAAACTCAGTGAGGAGGTAAATGGCTCAACAAACATTTGTTGATTGAATAAAAGAAATGGCCATTACTGTAACTGTTATACAATTTAAAAAAGAATGAGTCTAGTGATTTTACAAGGAGAACATAGAAGCAAGATGATGTATTCTTTGAATAAAAAAGTATATAACCTAGTTAGGAAAACCAAGAACTATATAACAATACAATATAATACAAATAATCTAGTATCTCATGTTATATCTATTTACCTTTATAGGTATGCATTTTAACATGCATCTGTAGTGTTCCTAGAGAATTCTGAATTCATACACCTTTTATATTTAAGAATTAAAAAAAAAATAAAGCGAATACCTGTTACATGATAGTTAGGGAAAGATGTTTGAAATAATTCTGGAGGAATTATCAAATGAACTTTTCTTCTCAGATTGGCAATTTTACTATATTCAGAGAATTATGTATTTCAAAGCAAGTAAAACCAAACTTAGAAAGTTGCTTCGTATCCAAAAAGGAAGCCTTTTAAAGTCAACCACATCTATTTATGCTTTATTACTAGACAAACAAGAGGCATGAAGTCTATGGTGATGTTATTATATTAAGCAAAGGTATTACTGTTATACCAAAAGATTATGTACCATAATAATGACAATATTAATTTTAACATGTAAACTAAAGGCAGAACTAGCTAAAATATTTAAATTTTAGGAACTAATGTTTTAGAACATAAGTTGAATGAAGTAATTCATTCAGGTATGATTAATAGGTTTGAAAGTCTAAATTAGTCTCTCTCCCTTCCCTTACCTCTCTCTCTATATAATATTATATATATTTCCATATTTACTCTGCACTCTACTGATATGGTTTAAAATGTAAAATTAAAATCTCCACCTAAATTTAAAGACAAGTTGATTGTCATACATTTAATAATAATATTTGACTTTACTAGGACTACATTAAGTATAACAACAATATGGAAGTCTGAAAATATTTTGGAGAACTAGAACTGTTCTGTTTAGGACACCATCTTGCTTATCTTCAGTGAACAGGCAAATGAAAGCAAACTTATACTTGTATACACCCACACTCCAATAACCACACATCTATACTCCCACACTCAATGCCACACCTACACTGTGATGACTGATTCATGGATCGACCAAATTGTTAATCAGCAACAGAAACTTCCAGGGTTCTTTGTTAATGGGTTAGCATTTGATTTCCTTTGCTGATCCAAAGTATAAAAAAAGGAAGAAGCAAGGCATTTATAAATTTAGTTACATGACTAGCTGTTTCAAGTATCATAGGAACTTCATCTTATGGGGTGAAATAACATTTTCTAAACTTTTATACAAATAAACACCACTTTACCAGTATGAAATTTTAACACTGCTAAACCAAATGTATGTATACATAATCTGGTATATATTTGTTTAATGGCAATACTGCCACCCTTACTGAGAAAGTATTAAGTTGTTACTATGGCTTTAAGTATTAGACTATTTGTAATATATTGATATAAATTCTGGATTTATTTCATTTAATTAGCCTCCAATGCAGAAGATATAAATCACAGAAAATACAATATACTCAGTATAAACTTTTTAAAAACCATTGTTTAGTTAAGTGCAAAGTTTTGAATATTTTTTAATTTCTCGTGACCATTCTTTCATGCTAAAAAGTGTACTTGACATTCAGAATATATTTAAAAATATATAAACTTCCCATTAAAATACACTTCATAAGATGATTTGAAGTTAGATTTTCAAGTGAAAATATAAGAAACATACTTACCTTTGATTCGAGGTAGACATTTGCTGATGACATTTTTGTAATTTTGCATATGTAACTAACTAAAGAGATGGCACAAAGAATAAACAGGCTATCATTAATTAATGCTCGAACAAACACAGTCCATTTCAACTGATTTTCTGGGACATCTCCATGGACTAGCATTGCACAAGTCAAGTTCACCACTAAAAAGATAAGGCTTGCCAATATAAAGCCCAAATGCAATAGAATTCTGAAAGAAAAAAGTAAGTTTATTAGATATTTATAAAACTAATAAGAAATTAAATTTATCAGTGTTACTTTAGATATAATAATTCCTTCAGTTTAAAATATTTGTAATTTCATTAAATAAAAATTTAACAATCACTCAGAGTTAATTTAGCTATCTATGCTGTTACAAAATACCTAAACCACTTTAAAATAGCATTAGAATTTAAAGCATTAATTTAAAAATAATCTCAGAGCACTTGAATTCAACTGCCTCTACCAGGAAGAATGTAGGATTATTTTAACACTAATTCAGGTAATCTTGAATTTTTCATTTCTGTAACTACTAAGCATATTTTCATTGATCTTTCCATGTCAATAAATCCTTGGCTTTTATAATTTTCCTGGAAAATTAATAAGCTACCTAAATTTAAATTGATCACTAACATTGATTTTAAGAGGAAAGGGAAATATGTTTTAAACAATGTTTAATTTTATGAACTTCTCATTATCTATAGCAAACATTACTTTCAAACATGACTAAAGAATATAGGGAAAGTAGACTTTCAAGCATTTATCAACACCTCATCTTCTTATGAAGTTGCACACTTACTAAACATACAGAGAAACTCTGAAAATGAAATGCTTAAAAATTTGCCCCTAAGAAAAATTAGACCACCTCATAAAACTCTTCAGGGTAAGGGCTGGCAATCTATATCAAGTAGTTGTAACAGCTATCTATATGAAAGTAGTCCCAGTTCAGATACATTTATACTCATAATTAGTAGGATCCAGAAATCTATTTGACATACTAATATCTTCTATTTGGGGTCACTTTCAATAGTGGAAGTCATAAAACATTGTCTGCCTTCAGCTACAGTTTACACATGGTAAATTGAAGGTAATGTGTAATCTGTAACAAGTGATCTTTGATAAATGTACATGCACACTACAAAGATTTTAATTTGAGACGTTTAGATCTTAATATTATCATAGATTAAATAATTAAATAATAATTATGTAGTTCAGCCCTGGCTGGCATAGCTCAGTGGACTGAGCGTGAACTGCGAACCAAAGTATCACAGGTCCGATTCCCAGCCAGGGCACATGCCAGGGTTGCAGGCTGTGGCCCCCAGCAACTATACATTCATGTTTCTTTCTTTAAAATTTTTTTAAATTGTTTTTGCCGTGCAATTTTCTATCTTTTACTCCCATCCCAACCCTTCCCTCCTCCCTCCCATTTCCACCCACCTCTAATTTTTATCCATGTGTCTTTATACTCGTTCCTGTAAACCCTTCCCCTTTTCCCCTGAAATTCCCTCTCCTTTCCCCTCTGAACTCTGTCAGTCTGTTCTTTATTTCAGTGTCTTTGGTTATATTTTGCTTGTTTCTTTGTTTTGTTGTTTAGGTTGCTGTCAAAGGTGAGATCATATGGTATTTGTCTTTCTCTGCCTGGCTTATTTCACTTAGCATAACACTTTCCAGTTCCATCCATGCTATTGCAAAGGGTAGGAGCTCCTTCTTTCTGTCTGCTGCATAGAATTCCATTGTGTAAATGTACCATAGTTTTTTGATCCATTCATGTTTCTCTCTCTCTTTCTCCCTCCCTTCCCTCTCTAAAAATAAATAAATAAATCTTTAAAAAAATAATTATGTAGTTCAAAATCCAAAACAGATCTTGAAATTATCCATATAGTGGGGATTATAGCAGTTTAGAAAATCAAAGCATAGGTTAGCAAGTTAGCAGGAGAACTGGTCTGAAATCCAAATTTACTGGCTCGAATTTTTGAGGTTAATCAGTACTGAAACATTACTTATTTCATGGAACTATACAATACAGTCTTTTCCCAAATAGCATAATCTAACTTTAATGTTTGTAGACTCTATGAAACTACATTTGATATCTGAAAGAGAGTAGAAGGGCAGCAAAAAAGAAGGGTATTAGGCAGCAATGTGGCTGTATGTCTATAGGTTACTCAATTCACTTCCTAGGAACTAATCTAATGATTTGATTTTCTATAGAACTGCTAAGGTGCCCTCAACCACCACGTCCTTTGACCTTGAGAAGTCTACTGCGAATAAAATTTAAATCTTGCTACTCATGAAACTTACTTGTGTTTGTCAAGTTCAGTGGCACATCTGACTTTACATATAACCTATAAAGAGAGTACAGAAGAAAGTTTGAAAACGTGTAATAGAATATTCTTAAATTTGTTTTGACTTTGTGTTTCAAACTGATACAACTACCAATAACAATAGATAACATGTAAAATTCAAATGTTAACAGCAGAAGTACCATGAGGCAAAAAAATAGGCAGGTTTCCTTAGGCTTAAAATAATAAATTAATAATTTTTTATAGTCCTAAATTTCTATCTTTAAAAACTTTTACAGAAATTAATTCAGTTTAAACATTTATTAAGCTTTTATTATGAGCCAGATATTGTGCTTAATGGCATGCCACTTATTCTAAATTTCATTTTGTCCTAAAATGGAACTACTTACTATATGAATGTGGCTGAGTGTTCTCCAAAGATTATTTTGGAGGTGAACTGAAGTAGTAAGAGGAAACAAGGGACCAAAAACTATACACAAAGCTAATGAGTATATACCATACATAGTAAACTTCTTCCTTCTCAAAGCCTTGCAAAGCAGATTCTCAAATACTTGTTAAACAAAGTTAAGGTAGGTAAGAAGAATTTGAAATAAAAATAGAAAATTCTGAGAGCATAGTGTGGAAGTTTTCAGTTCCTTACTAGTGAATTCGGGCTTTATTATTTAGATAATTGAAAGATATTGAAGGTTTTTATGTAGGTACTCTAAAATATTGAATTTCATTAATCTGGTATCAGTGAAGAGGCCACTATAAAGGAACTACAGACTAGAAGTAGGAAGACCAGTTATAAGACTATTGAAACAGGGTATGAACTTTGGGAGTCTGGAAAGAAAAAGGAAATTATAAAGTCTTATAAAGAAAAATACCATAATGTATTTGATAACTTACTGATTTCAATCATTTACGAGCGCACACTATGAAAGCTGCCATGGATTCATAAATATTGTACATAAATTGTTTCTTCTCTCAAGGAGCTCAGTGTATAAAAGAAGTACTATCTATTTTGACACATTGTGATATCAATTCAAAAGATGCTATCGCAACATCTGGGAAGGGAGGTCTATTTCAGTCTAGGAAATGATAAGAGGTAACAGGAAAGGAGAAAGACTGTGCAAAGAGTGAAGAAAAGAGAGATGGGCAAGGGAGACAGACCCAAGAATCAAATTAGTCATAGAAAACAGCTGAGTAGTTTATAGGTAAAAGAATATATAGCCCTTGTTAAGTTATGCAAATGTCAAGAACAACTAAAAAAACAACCATTGATCAATTTACTAGTATATCACTGGTACTTGAAGAGAATTGTTTTCAGTGGAGTGACAGAGCAAGAGTGCAGAGTTAACAGAAACAACAAAGGCAGTGATAATACTCTGGCAGATATCAATTCTGAGGTACATTTGAACATAATAAACCCGGGAAAATTTGTGTCAGGGGACAAGTCTCTATGAATATTGCATGTTTCTGCATGGTCCAGGTCTTTTGAGTGAAGGGGTTGGTATAACAAACATCCTTGAAAATTATAGCTAATATCTACCTTAAGGTCAGAAGGAAGATCTGTTTCCTATTATAATGAAGACACAGAACATCGCCCTCCCTGGAGACATTCCAGGGGAGTATTCTTTCTCCCTTCTTGGTGAAAAATTTGTTTACATTTAAGAGTTAAGATAAGGTGTGTTTGTGTTTCTTCCTTATTTTGGAGCTTGTCTCCTGTAACATGCCCTGCTGCATACACAGGTAACATGTGGCCCTAACAGTGTTGTTTTATAGCACTGAGGGCTTGGAACATGATGCAAGACATTGCTTTGATTGTTGTTTTTGCCATGAGTAATAAATGGTCTTTCTCTCTGACTCATGAAGTCTTGTGTTTTCTGTCAGTATATCTATCAATATATAAAACTGTGGCAGGCTAACAAGCTTTCAAGTAGAGTAAAATCTCAGACTCTTCAGTTTCTAACTTAATCATCTGCCAGTCAGAAATAAACTAAAGTACAGTACAGGGAATATTGTCAATAATATTGTGATAACTATGTATTGTGCCAGATGGGTCCTGGAAATGTCACAGGTAACACTTGTAAAGTATATGATTGTCTAACCACTGTGCTGTACACCTGACACCAATACAAAATAATATTGAAAGCAAACTGTAATTAAAAAAATGAACTAGAGAGGGTGAAATGGTAGATGGAGAGGGAGAGAAAGGACAGTTCAATTTTTAAAGAAGGCTTTAGATGAGGCAGGTTATCCCTGAAACGGAAGACACATACTTCTGAGTAAACAGCAAAGGAAAAGATAGTTACAGGGAAATATGGAGGTTTGCACAGAAAGTTTAAAATAATCTACAAACCCCTTTGTTAAAAACAAATTTGGACATAACATGGATACAGACATTTTGCTATAGAGAAGATAGATAAGAACTTGGCAGATAGATTCTATTTTTTTCTAGTAAGTAGGAGGCAAGGTCATATCCTTGGAATGGATGTAGATTTAAGCACTTGGAATACAAAAAACATTTTGAACACGTGACTAGAAGGGTTATATAAGAAAATACTGTAATGAGAAGCAGGGAGGTCCTATTAAAGTCAGGTAGTTGACAGTGGATTTTAAAATCAGTCAAGTTTCCTGATTTTAAATTTGAAACAATCTAATAGAAAAAAGTGGATGCCATTATAAAAAGTTCATATAATGAGGTTGCATTTTTACATAATTTAGGACTGTAACATGCAACTATTGTAGAGAAAGAAAAAGTAGGCAAGGAAACCACAGCAGAAAGTCCAAGGATGAAGAATACTAGACTGACCATTGGTTCTAAGTGCAAATAACACAATAAGGGAGCTAATAGAGTGGGGTAAGCAGAAGGAATAAAATAATTCAAATATAGGATGAGAGTGAAACTCAGATAAAAGAATCAATTCAAAATGCATAAGGAAAGAGGGAAAACACTAGTCAGGAAGAACTGCTTCATTCAAAAGCTGATCCAAGACGTGGGCATGCTGTTGGGTGGCTCAAACACAAATGGAGAAAACCTAGCTCCAAGAAGCCACTGAATTGAAAGACATTGAGTGGGTTATCAATATGAGCTTTGAAAAAGATCTATATAACAGAACCAGCCCAGAAGAAAGAAAAGTGCTGATTCATCTATAGAAGTGGAAGTTATTATTACGGCCAAAGATGACCTAATCAGATGGCATAGATTTCAGAGAGATGATGATGGTATAACATCAGTAGGCAGTACTGGGAAACATAAAATAGGCTGATTGTTCTTCCCACAAATTTAGACAGAGGGTTTATAAGGCACAAAGTGTTCTCTGGAAAAAGCTAGATTTCGGTGAAAGCATTTAGAAGGTTCAAATTAAAAGAATGGGGACATGGTAGGAAGTATAATCCGTAAGATTATAGGTCTTGGGATGGGATAAATAATGAGTGTGAAAGGGAGCTGAACCAAATAAGGAGATAAGTAAAGGTCAGCTATCATCCAAGATTTGCAGAATATGTTACAATGCAATACATAAACACAACTTGATGCTTTAATCAGTTTTAGATTACAATAAGGTTAAAAACAATGATCTGTCATTAGTGGATTCCAAGTATTTTATAGAATTTAGCTACTAGGATATGGTTCTAAGTAAAAAAATGTCATGCAATAATGTATCATTTAAGACAGTGAAGAATAGTTCAGGAAACATAACATGTTCTTTATGTAGATTTTTTTGAAGTCAATGGTAAACAACATACAACTAAATGACTTTTCTGATGTGAATTTCTATCACAGGGCCTTATCTTCCCAAGTCTTTCTTAATACCAGAAAAACTGAAGAAATGGGCCATTTATAGAAATGTTATTATTTATTATAAAAGTATGAAGAATTATGTGGGTTGATGGATATCAAATGTTTTTCATCATATATGAGGGGGCCCCCAAAACTCAGAATTTATTTATAAAAATGGTGTATTTATTCTTACATGTTTAAACTTCAGTCACCTTCAAAGAACTTTCTATTGGATGTAATACACCTATCAAAATATGTTTCCCACTGCTCAGAAGAGTTCTTCAACTCATCAATTTGGATACCTTTTAGTGCTTCTGCTGTTTTTGGTTTCACCTCTTACACATTAGCAAAACATTTCCCATTGAGAACTTTGTTCATCCAGGAAAACAAAAAAAAAAAGTTGCTCAGGGTGAGATTGGGTGAATTGGGGGGAGCACGGAGGTCATGCCATTGTTGGTCAAAAACTGAACACTCACAGTGGTGTGGGCAGGTGCACTTGTAAATCGCTCATCACGAATTGGGCAAATGTGTTGAGTCTTCAAAAACAATTCATTGAAGCTGAATGCAGCTTCTCACGACAATGCCGGCTGGCACAGATACAGATGGGTTCTTTAGAATATCCACCTAGTGGGGGAAACCTGTACTACAAAGGCCTGCTTTCCAGAAGATAATTCTGGTTGTTTTGGGGTCACCCCTAGTAATCTACCTTCATCTCATGTGCAAACTAGCATCCCTTAATTTAAAAAATACTTAAAAATTTTGAATTAATGAAGATTGAAAATACTGTTTATTACTAGAATATTTTACTTTAAAATTTGAACCTATTTATAAATAATCTGATTTTCCATTTAAAAATGCAGACTTCCATATTTTGTCTCCCTATTTAGCTCCTCAAAGAGAAGAATATGACAAATAAACTTTTTTGGTAAATGTTACCTAAAATAAGTTTAGTTAATACAAGTATCATAAGCTTTGAGGGAGAATTACCTCAAATCTTTGAAGAGCTGTGTAAAATTTGTTGTCCCCATGGCATGTAGATGAAGAAGATGTTGCTTGAAGATGGTAGATACTAGAATACTTATTAAAACTGGTACTTTTCTATAGAATTTCTGGTTGTCTAGTTGATTTCTCACTTTTTAAAAATTTTAAATATAAACTTAACTGGAAAACATATCTATATAAAATTCAAAATTGATACAAAAATAAATTGTGGTGAACATAATCTCTTCTCCATGAATAGATAGGTATACATACCCAGCTATGTGGATTGCTTTACAGA